GTCATAGGAGAAAATTAATACCAGTTCAATTTTTTCTTCTTCATAGAAAGGCCACTTTTTGTGATTGAATGCTTACAATTATTTTCTTTGTCTTTATAATCCAAAAGTGATGCCAGAATTTGTCCAGGTATAATCTGCACTATACGTTTATCTTCAGAACTTTTGTGGGAGGCATATCCCATTGCCACGGTTTCCCTCCAGCCACAGCCATTGCTGCATGGGTTTCACTGGTTCTGGGCCAGTATTTATGCTAATTTCCCTGCATTTTTCCAGTGGTGGGAATTCCAATCTTACCATCTCAGGTGGGGTTCTGACTTCTCCCAAGTGGCTCATTTTTGGCCCTGACTGGGCACTTGGCATGTTTCTCTGCATCTACTCAAGCCAGTGGGCAACGTGTTTCTAGTCCTCAATTTGTAGACAAGTCCACTCTGAACCTCAGTTCTATATAGTTAGCTGGGTTCTGACCTTCCCTACCTGCGGGGCCCTCCTTCCAGATTCCCTCTTTGTCCAGCCAAAGTCCCAGCCCCAGCTGTTCCCTCTCCAATGAGGTCCTCACCTTCACCCCTTGCTTATAATCACTCATTTTACTTTGGTAACTTAAGATTTTCTTTTCCTGATTTCATGCTCAACTATAAATTAAAACAATTTTGGTTCTGTTTTACCCAACCTTGTTACATGTTTGGATTGGGGAGGGCAAAAGCATCTTTCATGTCAGCTCAATCCAAAAGGGTGATGCATTAGTTCTGCACTTTGATTTCCTGGTAATACTTTATCACACCCAACACAGTGATCAAGGGCACAGCTTTTAGAATTGGATAGATCAGGGTTTGTATCAGCAGTAGAAAATTATCCTAGTTACATAACCTCTCTGAGGACCTTTCTTCATTTACTATACATGCATAATGACACTCTCATGGAATTTTCCCAAAGTTATCCTTTATCATTTATCACATAAGAAAGCACTACCACATAGCCCCAGAAGCCACTGGTCCCACAATTATCTAGCACTTGCTGCATTATGGCTTTCTATGGTTGTGTCAGTCTTTGACTGTTTGGGTCCTGCTGAGGGTTCCAAACAATTTTGTTCCATTTTCTTTGGTTCCCTGCAGTGTCAGTCTTCCTCTGAGTCTTCAAGATAGCATTCCATTGTATCTGTTACTTCTTATTTTTCATCGTTGACACTGTCTAGAATAAAGAATCTCTCCATACCTAGTGTCTGATAATAGAAGGTGGAGAATGTATGCTCTACTCTTCGTCATGGGACTGTTCCTTCTCAGATTTAAGTGATTAAAGTGTAGAGCTCTCCGTAAAATTTCTAGAATCTTGCAGGTGTTGGACCAGAACAGCTCTGCTTCACTGAGGATGGTTCTCATCATACCCCAACTGTCTCAACTGCTTATACTCTGAACTGATACAGAGCATGTGCACACACATGCACATGCACATACACACAAACACACATCACTGCTATTAGCATAAATTATTTATCTCCATTTTCATCTGTAAGTTGTGTAATAGTTTGGAATGTGAGGATGTAATGTATTCCCCTAACTCCCCACCTATAGACAATTGTGTCTCAAAGGAAAAGAAGAAATCAACATAATATTAGAGGAATGACATCCCAGTTTTTAGTTGGTATTGACCCCATGTCTCTAAACCAGGGGCAAGGCAGTAAGGAAAGAATAAAACATATTTTTACAGGCTGGAAGTTTTTCTCTCTTTCAAGAGGCAGAGCATATATTAAAGGTCAGTTGTGATCCTTAGTTCTGCTCTACAGATCTCTTTTTATATTCTGACAATAGGTTCACCAACATTAGTTTTTAGCATGACACATTTATGTTTTTCTATATACAAAGTGTATGTAGTTGTGAGAGGTTGCATCCAGGACCACTAATCTTAAATGTTGCTTTTAATTCAAAGTGTCTTGTAGAATTTAACAATTTTTATACTAGCTGAATTTTTATACTAAAGCCCCAAGAAAATCAAGACAAAAAGATAAGCATATTTTAATACAGGTAGGGTCAAACTAGGCATCTAATAAATGTTTTTTGCACTGAATCTAAATATGTTCCTATATTGACAGTACCATCATTTCAGGGTGTCTATTCCCATAAGACGTTGGAGAGGAAACCTCAATAAATTGGATGAGTTGAATCACTCAATTACCTTATTGTCCTACAGATATCATACAGTATCTCTCTGGTACACATATGCATGACTAATCTATTCTGTCATCATGCTTCTCTGATCATCAACACTATGTTGGGAAAATGTGCTTTCTCTCCACTCTGCTACCCATGACTCTGGTCTATTTACACCTGCCCTGCAATATACTTCTTCCAGAAGAAAATGTTCCTAATTAACCCACATGCCCAACCTGCCTGCATCTAGCTTTAGTTTAATCTGCCTCCATTGTCTTCTTAAAAGATGCATTTATATAATTTCAAGGTGTATGCCTGTTCTGATTGTCAATGACTGGAAGCTCATGGAAGACAAGCCCCACTTTATTGATGTGTTCTATGACTCCTCCTTCCCCCAGGACATAAATATCTGGTACAGGGCTCTGCACACAGTAACAATGACTATTGATCACCACCTCATGTACAGATCAATGCTAGTGAAGGTGAGATTACTGAGGAAGTTCTCCTGGATGCTAGTTTATGCTAATGTAAGGAAAATCAAACAAGTTTTATTTGCTGCTGTTACCCTTTAGCAATTCCTTATAATGTGAACCTCATTGCCATCTGGGTATTTGTAGCAGTCAGGAGGGAACCTGACTACCGTAGTAAGGGAAATCACCAACATGAATTAATTATCAGTCTGCTAGGAAAATACTGGAGGGCAAAACTATTATCCTTAAAGCAAGGCAAAATGCAAACTAGATTGGACTTCAAAATTCAGTCATTTCAGGGGCACCTGGGTGGCTCAGTCGTTAAGCATCTGCCTTCGGCTCAGGTCATGATCCCAGAGTCCTGGGATCGAGCCCCGCATCAGGCTCCCTGCTCCGAGGGAAGCCTGCTTCTCCCTCTCCCACTCCCCCTGCTTGTGTTCCCTCTCTCGCTGTGTCTCTCTCTGTCAGATAAATAAATAAAATCTTTAAAAAAAAAATTCAGTCATTTCAAATTAGTATTATGGTAAAACAGTAAAGGAGTGCTAATGGTACAAAATAGAAACTAAAAATTGGAATATGCTATGAAAACCACTGAAATAGGCAAAGAAAGCATATACTGTAGCATTAAGCATAGCTAAGATGAAGACTACCTGCTCAACTGGATCAACTAAGATCATTTGGATAGGGGATGCTGTTCCTCACAGCATGTGCCCATGGGTGACAACATTAGTAGATCACTGGAACACCTTTTCCTGTCTTTCCATGCAGCGACTCAGAATTCTTCTTAGGTCACTACTAGCCATAGATTGAACTTGTCATGTATGGTAGTCTGGATTATCATTCAGCAAACATTCATGCCCCTCTCCCTTTCTCTACAGGCAGAGTAGATTTCCGTTCCTCACTGATGTTGGACTTGGCCATCTGGTTTGCTATGATCAATGGGCTGTGTTGTGGAGAGAGGCCTTGAGTGTGCTTCTGTGATCTAGCGTGGCCCCTTTGCTCTGGTGTACAGCATGAGAAGAGCATGCCCCAAATAGCCACGGCCTCTTCAGCCTGGGCTTCACAACAAATGTACATGAACTACACCTGAACTCAACCTACAGAATGAAGCAGAATACATGAGACAAGTCAAATAATTAATTCTTGTTGTAAGCTACTAAGTTTTAGGGCTGTTTGGCATACAGCATAATTTTGGTAATAACTGGTTAATACAGCATTTTAGATGAAATTGATGAAGCAAAATTCTACCAGGCATTAAAACAATAAAACAAGAAAATGACACCTTGGCATAAAAAACCCATCTAATGGTTTAACCTCGGGCAATCCATTTTTAGGCTGGAAAGGAAGAAAGCCAAGAAAGGGGGCAGTTTCAGACACTAACCCTTTGGCTAAAGTTGACTTAACACTTCAGCAGACTAAGCTGCTGCCTACAGATACGTTCTCAGAGGCTTTAGGAAGAACAGTCCCACCCCCACCAGGTTCAAGTACCACTCTTCATTCCCTTTGGCTCAATGCTTCACCTGGTGCCAAGGAAAATTAATTATGGTTATTACTGAAATGTCAATCTGGAAGTAAGACTCTAGCACCTTACTTCTTAGAACCCATCCAAGTGCTCAGGACATAAGAGCACTCAATAAATATTTTTCAAATGAATGAATGGACAAACACACAAATGAACATTAAATATGTTACTGCTCATCTGACTTAGAGGTTTAGATTATAGTTTACTAATTAACAAAGGAGTTCTAAATGAGAAGAAATAAATAGCAGTGAGGTCAAGTTTAAATTCTAACCTCTCATTCATTAATTCATTTAACAAATATGAATGCCTGTAATGTGCAAGTAATGTGTGATTTTCTGTGGTTGCAGCAGCAAACAAAATAAAGTCCCTACCCTCAGGAAGCTGATGATAGTTTAATGAGAGAGAGAGCTCAAATATGTACACCTGTGTGTGTGCACACACACATACACATACACACAAACACACACATTTAAAATATAAGAAAAAGCACAGAGAGCTACATGAGAGTATGAGAGCAAGTACACAGTTTAGAGGATCAGGAAAGGACCCACAAGTAAATATTTTCAAAGGCTTCATTTGACATCTGTGAACTGGAAAAGAAGCAGACAGAAGGGAGAACCATTTGTCACATAGCCCTGCATCTGAAATTCAGGAGCTGACTGAGTAACATGTACATACATACAAGGAAATGATGCCCCTTTGTTTTGGCAGCTCAGCCTTAAGAACCCTATCCTCTTCCTGAGGTTCCTCACACCACTATCCTCTCTAAGCTAAAACCCAACAAATCACCACAATTAAACCTTCACCACTTGATTAGACATTATATATATCTGGTTTTTATAAAATGCCTAGACATTTCAAACATACCAAGCAAATAATCTGTGTATGAAGACAGAAGATCCACGGTGGCAAATTCTGGGATATTTGGTAATGCCCCTTGGCTAACTTTATCAGTTCTAGCATTCTTCTTTCCAATAAGTAGATTAATTTCCAACACAGCTTCACTGACCTAAAATTAATACATAATCAGAATCCATAAATGTAAGCTTTCTCATTCATAGATTATCCATTAGGTAAATAATGTGAAAAAGTGAATTCATAAAATAATATTCAATATACATTGGAAGAAAAAAAAAGATAATCTGGAAAACAACATGTGATCCCCAACATGTAGTATGTATCATTGTCAAACAAATCATTACTGTTGACAATTTAATTAATGTATGAGCCACTTTAAATAGGCTCTCTCACCTAGCTACAACAGGTATTTGCCAAAATGTCAAAACATGCACATAGGTATCTGCCAATACTCTCATTAAAGGAAAGCTGAAACAAACAAAGCCAGGTCTGGCTAATAAAGATTAAAAACATTATGTATATAAGGAGCATTTCTAATCTTCCCAAGAAACATCACCAGCATAAATCCGAAAGAATGTGAATTTTCCTTTCTCTCACAGAGATACATTGTGCTGCCCTAACAGCTGGTGGTAGAGGATACGGATAGGACAGTGAAGAGAAAGATTAAATAAAAATCACACCAACCTGGGCAGCAGCTCTTATCACAATCCAGGCCAGTGAACTGTACATTTCAAATTTATTTACTATTGGTTCTTTAATAGAACTATGCCTTCTGGTAGAAGCCTAAAAAATATAGTACATGCATTATGATAAAGATATCATGAAGTCCCATGATTAATTTTCTCATCCTCTGAAGATGACATTTCAGTGGAACACTATGTAGCCATTAAGAATAATAATATAAAAAAATAATAATGTATATGTATCTATTGACATGAAAAGATGCTCAAAGCATATTGGAGAAAGAAAAGTGGGGGTTACAAAATAGTATGCAAAGTATGATCCTATTTCTAAAAAGACATGTACACACATATACTCCCTGTATATACAAGCAGAGAAAGTTATTAACACCCATTATCCTGGGTTTTAAGGGTGATTATTTTTATCATCTTTTCTAATTTTTTATAATGAGCGTGTATTATTTGAGTAACAATAAAATAAACACAAATGGCATTTTAAGGAAAGTATTTACTTAAAATGATATTTGCCATTTTAATAGAGGATTTATAAGTTGAATATATTGTGTGTAAGGATGTCAGAAATAAGAACATTACTTAAGATTTTTGATAGGTATTTGCTATCATCTTTTCAACTAGGAAACTGTTAAAGGGACAATGTAATCATAAAGTTCCACAGAATAGCAAAAGTAACAATGAATGGAGATAATTTTTACTGTGTGTGTTCAGTTTTGTGTTTTGTGTGTGTTCAGTTTTTTATTTTTTATTTTTTTTTAAAGATTTTATTTATTTATTTGAGAGAGAGAGCACATGAGAGGGGGGAGGGTCAGAGGGAGAAGCAGACTCCCTGCTGAGCAGGGAGCCCAATGTAGGACTCGATCCAGGGACTCCAGGATCATGACCTGAGCCGAAGGCAGTCGCTTAACCAACTGAGCCACCCAGGCGCCCTGTGTTCAGTTTTTTAAACATAAGAAAGTCAATGCTACAAAAGTTAATAGAAACTCCACTAGTAACATAGTATCTGCCTGTTTTACATTTTTAAAGGTAACTAAAATAAGGGGCACCTGGGTGGCTCAGTCGTTAAGCATCTGCCTTCTGCTCAGGTCATGATCCCAGGGTCCTGGGATCGAGCCCCGCTTCGGGCTCCCTGCTCCGCGGGAAGCCGGCTTCTCCCTCTCCCACTCCCCCTACTTGTGTTCCCTCTCTTGCTGTCTCTCTCTGTGTCAAATAAATAAATAAATAAAATCTTTACAAAATAAAAAATAAAAAAAAATAAAGATAACTAAAATAAGCATTAAGAGTCAATTCTTAAGATTTAACTAATCTGGAAAAAACTATTCAATTAGACTGCTTGGTTCTAATTTTTTGATGTTCATGTTTTGGCTAATTCTTTAGTCTTCAACAAGACTGCAGAATAAAACAAACAATAACAAAAGATATCTTTCTTTTACTTCAATAACAAGGAAAAAGAAAGTCAATGAATAATGCTGATGCCAGAGCAAGGAATACAATGTGCAAATGTGGCCTGGCCTAGATCAAGTGCTAAGATTGTTTGGAAATAGATGAAACCCGGAGAAGTCTGCCTATGGAGAATCTAAGCAACATCCCCCTGTCCCAAGATATGAAGACCCACTTGGGTTCTGGGGTAGCCCTTGCCAACTTACTGGCTATGTAAGTTTGGGCAATTTACTTAAATTCTGGAAACAAGACTAACAGACATTAAATGAAGAATACATAATAACATTAAATAATTACAATGTAAGAACAATTAGTGACACAGACATTTAAAAAAGAAAGTTCATTTTGAATTGAGAGGGAGACTTTATTAAGAAGGTTGGACTTGAGTTCAAAATGGGAAAATGTGGACAGAGAAGAATATAAAGGGTATTTTTTTAGATGGAGAAGGTGTTTAACACTGCGTTTATGAGATTCTAGCTCATGCAAACAAGGAAAAGAGGAAAATGCATCTAGATTCGAAATGAAGAAGTAAAATTGTATTTGTTTGCAGAAGACATGGTCCTATATGTAGGAAATCCCAAGACACACACATACACATACACCTCTAGAATTAATAAATGTGCATAACAAGATCACAGGACACAAAATTCAATATTCATAAATCCACTGTATTTCTATGTATCATCAATGAACAATCTGAAAATGAAATGAAGAAAATATTCCACTCACAATAGAGATAAGCTTAACAAAAATGTACAAAATTTGTACACTGAAAAGTAAAAAGCATTATTGAGAGAAATTAATATCTAAATAAATGAAGGGACAGTTCATATCCATGAATTGGAAGATTCAATATTGTTAAGATGGCTACTGTCCCCAAATTGATTTACAGATTTAACACAATCTCTACCAAAATTCTGTTAGTTTGCAGAAATTGACAAGCAGCTCCTAAAATGTATATGAAAATGCAAAGAACTCAAAGTAGCCAAAATGATTTGGAAAGGAAGAACATAGTTGGAGGACAGGTACTTTCCAATTTCAAAACTTACTGAAAGCTACAATAACCAAGAGGGTGGATACTCCTATAAAGGTAGACTTATAGATCATGGAATAGGATTGAAAGTCTAGCAATAAACATTTAGATTTATGATAATTAATTTTTGACAATGGTGTGCCAAGGCAAGTCAATGAAGAAAAGACAGTCTCTTGAACAACTGGTACTGGGACAGTTGGATATCTATGTGCAAAACAAGAATTTAGATCTTTATACACTTCACACAAATATTAATTCAAAATGGGGATCATACTTAAATGTAAAAGCTACAACCATAAAACTTCTAAAAGAAAACATAGAAGAAAAGCTTCAACACCTGGGGTTAGGCGAAGAATTCTTAGATATGCAACCAAAAGCACAATATATAAAAGAAGAAAAATGAAAAATTGGAATCATTAAAATTTAAAACTTTGTCTCCAAAGACACTATTAACAATATGAAAAGACAAGCCACCAACTGGAGGAAATATTTGCAAATCAAGTATCTGATAAAGGACTTGAATCTAGAATATACATTTTAAAAACTCTTGTGATAAAAAAAAAAAGACATCTTAGTCTAGGTTATGGGCAAAAGATCTGAATAAACATTTCCCCAAAGAAGATACAGAAATGATCAGTAAGTACATGAAAAGATCTCAATATAGACAGCTGGGAAATGCACACCAAAGCGACAGTGAGATACACTTCATAACCACTAGGATGGCTACAATCAATAATATAGATAATAACAAGTGTTGGCTAGGCTGTGGAAAAACTGGAACTCTTATTCACTGGTACAGGCACTTTGGAAAACAATCTGACAGATCATCAAAAGGCTAAACATAGAGTTAACATATGATCCAGCAATTCCATTCTTAGATATACACCCAAGAGAACTACAAACATATGTTCACGTAAAAACTTGTATATAAATGTTCAAAGCAGCGTTAATCAAAATATCCAAAAAGTGGAAACAATTCATATATCCATCAACTTTTGAATGGGCAAAGAAAATACTATATATCCAAAAAGGGGACTACTAGTCAGCAATAAAAAGGAACAAACTACTGTTACATGCTACAATATAGGCAAACCTCAAGAACATAACGCTAAGTGAAAGCAGTAGTCACAGAAGACTATATATCGTATGATTCCATTTATATGGAATTCCATTATGTGAAATATCCAGGGAAGGCCAATCTATGGAGATAGAAAACAAATTAATGGTTGCTTGGGGCTAGGGACTGCAAATGGGCACTAGGGATCTTGCTGGAATAATGGGAATGTTCTAAAATCGGATGGTGATGCCAGCTCCACAGCTCTGTAAAGTTGCTAAACATCTGTGAACTGCACTCTTAAAATAGGTTAATTTCATGAATGTAAATTATACCTCAATAAATTATACCTCAATAAATCTATTTTTAGTATGTGTGCTTGCTAATCTCTTTCTTTGAACTATTTTCCTCCTGCTTGACTACTTGGAAAACTTCTAGTCCTTCTTCAAAATTCATCTCATCTGTAAAACTTTCTCCCAGCATTCCGCCAAAGCAAAATTAGTTCCCACTTTGCTCCACTTCTCTACTTTGACATATCTTGATTACAGTCCTCATTAGATTTTGATAGAATTATTTCTCTCCCTTGCTCCTCTGTGCTTCTTAAAGAAAGAGAGTAACATGCCTGGCATACATTAGGCACTCAGTAAGTATTTGGTTAATGAATGAATACATGTTCATGAAATAGTCAATTCCATTTAGCTAAAAAAAATAATTATTGAATACCTACTATATACAAAATACTCTAGAAAGATAAAATGGGAATGTTTAGCCAAAGTCATATATTGGTAGAGAACAGTGCACCCCTCTTTTTGAGTACTTATTATGTGCCATGACCATTATCTTGTTTAATTCTCCTACCTACTCTAAGAGGTCAGTATCCTCTCATCTCCATCTCACAGATGAGAAAACTAGGCTTAGAAAGGCCCCAATCACCCTGCTGGTATGTCATGAAGCTAGGATTCAAACCCAAACCAGTGCTCTGGTCACTCTGCTCTGTGGATTCTCCATAAAAGTGAAGCAATAGTGCTTTCTTTTAAGAGTTTATAAAGCATTGTCTTTATTAGGACAAACTTCTAATGTGGTATTTCAAAGGTTGAATGTGTCTGGATAACTTCTTGTTTGTCTTTGGCTGTTATCTGTGCTCCTAGTAATTGTATGACTTGCTAAAATATTTCTATTATGTCACACAAAAAATAATGTGATATTGTATGGAATTATGCTATGTTTTTCATTCAAATTCTACCTTATTCAAGCTCTTAATTATAAATACTTCTCCAGTAAAGGCCAAAAAGGTGATATATTATTATCCTAGCATCCTATTAATTTTCATTGTTACTTGCCATGGAAACAAAGATTTTTGTTTTCTCTTACTAGAAATAAACATGTTTATCACATCAGAAAAAGTTTTCTATGTAATCGTCTTGATAAAAAAATAATAATAGCTGCTATATCCACCTAAGTAGCTACCATATGAGTAATTCAACTGACTGAATACCTGTTTGCCTAAAGGTTTTAAATCAAGTCTATGTTGTCTCAAAAATTAAAGATTTGACACCGAAATTTTCTGAAAAAAATCTCTTGGTGGGTCAAAGGATTACTTAATTGGGATGAATTATGGGCGCCTGGGTGGCTCAGTTGGTTGGGCGACTGCCTTCGGCTCAGGTCATGATCCTGGAGTCCTGGGATCGAGTCCCGCATCGGGCTCCCTGCTCA